GTGCTGTGTCATCGTTCAAAGGTCTATGTGCCGGCCGGTCCCGAGCGGGAGGAAATTTTAAAGCTTTGTCATGACACCAAGCCAGCAGGGCATTTCGGGATCTTTAAAACAATGCAGTTGGTGCTGAGAGACTTTTGGTGGCCCAAGATTCGGCAAGAGATTGAGAAATATGTCAATGGGTGCCCTGTTTGTCACCGTGCTAAGAACTCTATGGGCAAGCCGGCTGGTTTGCTACAACCTTTGCCCACTCCGAGTCGGCCCTGGGAAATCGTGTCGGCCGACTTCATCACGGATTTGCCAGAATCTCAAGGTTTCACCACCATTTTGGTAGTGGTGGATCTCTTCACCAAGATGGGACATTTCATTCCCTGTGTGGGAGTGCCTACCGCTAAAGAGACTGCCGATCTGTTCCTGGGTCACATCTTCCGTCTTCATGGACTGCCATCGAGTTTGGTGACCGATCGTGGTGCCCAATTTACCTCGCATTTTTGGAAGGAGATTCAGCGGCAGTTAGGCATCGAGAGTCGAATGTCGTCTGCACACCATCCACAATCCGATGGCCAGACCGAAAAGACCAACGCCACCCTTGAGCAATATTTGAGATGTTTTGTGAACTATCAACAGGACAATTGGTCATCGCTTCTTGCTGTAGCAGAGTTCGCTTATAACAATGCCGCTCACGGGTCGACCAAGGAAGCTCCGTTTTTTGCTAACTATGGATATCATCCCCGGTTCTTTCCTTCAGTAGTGGGCTCAGGAGAAGTCCCTGCCGCTACCACTTGGCTGCAGGAACTTTCAGCAATTCAAGAGATTTTAAAGGCTCAACTGGAGCAAGCCAAAGAGGATTACAAACGAGTGGCGGATACTCATCGGCAGCCGGGTCCATCGATCCAAGTGGGAGATCGAGTTTGGCTGTCCACCAAACATTTGCCTATACAACGTCCCTCTCGAAAGCTTGACGCTCGTTTTGTGGGACCATACCTAGTGGTGGAACAATTGAATCCTGTGACCTTTAAGTTAAAGCTTCCGCGTGGCTTGCGGATTCATCCTGTTTTTCATCGATCGTTGCTCAAGCCCGCCACGGAAGTCCGGCCGGATGCTGGCGGGGCCCCTCCACCGCCCCCGATTTTACTTGATGGAGAAGAGGAATTTGAGGTGGCGGACATTTTGGACTCTCGCCGTTATCATCGCAAGTTGCAATACTTGGTGGATTGGGTGGGATATGGTCCTGAAGAGCGCTGTTGGGTAGATGCTCGAGATGTTCATGCTCCTCTTTTGGTGTCCCGCTTTCACCGGGCCTATCCGGCCAAGCCTGGCCCGGTGGGGGGACTTAGGGGGGGGCTTGGGGGGGGATAGTGTTGTGATTCAGCAACAGCATGATGGGTCTGAGAGTGCAAATGGGCATGTTGTGGGAAATCTGAATCCTCGGTTCTCTCAGCCACAGTTCACAGCTGGAGAGAAGCGCTTGTTCTCACAGCCCAGGAATGTGGCCGACCAGAGCGGTGAAGGTCAGGGCAATCAGTTACAGGTGCCGAGAAGAAGTGGGAGACTTGCGGCCAAATCTTGAGGCCATCTGTCGGTGGGAAATGTGCTTGTTAGCGAACTGTTTTTACTTTCATGTTTTGATGCTTTTCCCTATAAGTATGCTGCTGGAAAGCCAGCTCACTGTCTGTTCAACCTTGCTAGGATGGATCGCTATTCCTATGGCTCTGTGATGGGGCCTGAGGGGGATTGCCTGCTTCCTGTAACTTCATGCTAAGCCTGACTTAGATTCTGCTTCTTGCTTCACGTTCCTGTTTGACTATGGACTTTTATTGAACCTGCATTTTATACTTTGAACTGTCTACTGCCTATAATTGGAATTGTTTGATTCTTCAATAAACTATTTTCTTCTCAAGACTGGCTGGTTTGTCAGAGGGCAAGGTGAAACTACTCTGAGACGCAACAGTGAGTTCCTAAAGGGTTCCTTCCCTGTTCTTTCAGTCCCTTGACACAAAGGCATTCGTGTCAGCTGCGTGTTGCAGAATGCATTCCTGTCATTCAAAACTCAACAGCCCAGCGCAGAGCTGCTTCAACTGTGGGTCCAACCCACGCTCATTCTCCTAAGGGGAATGCCACGGTTCAGTTCCACTCAGGAATAGCACCATTTCCCCCACAGAGACTTGAGTAGACCCACCACACGAATGCCATCTAACCCCAGTGAGGTTCCCACAAGCATCATCGCACTCATCCGCCGGTGCATTCCTTTATGAAGAGGTGTTACCCGGTTTGAGTCTGGACCTCAGAAGACATCATCGGGGAACGGAGATGCCAAGATGGAGACGTTTGCCGAAAGGGCAATAAAACCAAGGCTTCGGATTGTAATACGTAGTCGAGGCGACATGCGTTCGGCACTCAAAAGGAACATGGAAAGATGAAATGGTAATGTGGAGAGCACGTGTCCAGTAGAAAAAAAAGAATGCATCTAAGCGTGAGGAAAGAATGAAAGCTTTGCAGGAATCCTTAAAAATACACCATTCCAAATTAAAGGTAAAGGTAAAGGTTGTCCCCTGACATGAAGTCCAGTCATGTCTGACTCTGGAGTGTGGTGCTCATCTCCATTTCTAAGCCAAAGAGCCGACGTTGTCCATAGACACCTCCAAGGTAATGTGGCCGGCATGACTGCATGGAACGACCTTACCTTCCCGCCGGAGTGGTACCTATTGATCTACTCACATTTGCATGTTTTTAAACTGGTAGGTTGGCAGAAGCTGGGGCCGACAGCGGAAGCTCACGCCACTTCCCGGAATCGAACCTGTGACCTTGGGTCAACAGCTCCGCAGGTCAGCACTTTAATCCACTGCGCCACCAGGGCTCCTACACGGTCAGGCTTTAATTTGGAATTAAATTTATTTATTTATTTATTTGCAGCTTTTATATTTATTTATTTATTTATTTATTTATTTATTTATTTACTTTGCTTATATACCGCTGTATCTCAAGCCCGAAGGCGACTCACAGCGGTTCACAAACAGTAAAAACAGTAGAAACAGCAGTGGTTCCATACAACATATAACAATTGACTTAACACATTATCCATAAATTACCAATAAGCAATTACAATGCACAATTATTACCAAAAACAACCATACCCAATCTTCTCATCATCCAAGCATAGTCCAGGTTCGTCGTCCATAGTTCCATTCCTATGTTCCATTACCAGATTGCACTAAATTACTCAAACGCCTGCACAAACATCCAGGTCTTCACCTTTTGGAATACCATTAGAGATGGTGCTAGTCTAATGTCCGTAGGAAGGGCGTTCCACAGCCGAGGAGCCACCACCGAGAAGGCCCTATCTCTCGTCCCCGCCAGCCGAGCTTGAGAAGCAGGCGGGATCGAGAGCAGGGTCTCCCCGGAAGATCTCAAAGTCCTGGTGGGTTCATAGGCAGAGATGCGGTCAGATAGGTAGCTTGGGCCGAAACCGTTTAGGGCTTTAAAGGCCAACGCCAGCACTTTGAATTCAGCCCGGTAGCAGATCGGTAGCCAGTGGAGTTGGCGCAACAGGGGGGTTGTATGCTCCCTGTTAAAATCATGGCTGCCGAGCGTTGGACTAGTTGGAGCTTCCGAGCTGTCTTCAAAGGCAACCCCACGTAGAGAGCGTTGCAGTAGTCTAAACGGGATGTAACCAGAGCATGGACTACCGTGGCCAAGTCAGACCTCATGGGCCATCCAGTCCAACCCCCTGCCAAGAAGCAGGAATATTGCATTCAGATCACCCCCGACAGATGGCCATCCAGCCTCTGTTTAAACGCTTCCAAAGAAGGAGCCTCCACCACGCTCCGGGGCAGAGAGTTCCACTGCTGAATGGCTCTCACAGTCAGGAAGTTCTTCCTAATGTTCAGATGGAATCTCCTCTCATGTAGTTTGAAGCCATTGTTCCGCGTCCTAGTCTCCAGGGAAGCAGAAAACAAGCTCCCTCCCTCCCTCCCTCCTCCTCCTCCCTGTGGCTTCCTCTCACATATTGACTTGGATTTGAAAGCGCTCTCATCCCAATGCATGGCTGGAGATCAGCTTCATTGCAATAGCACCTCCCGAGCATTAGAGGGGAGTGGAAGGGCCCAGGGACCTCTGTAGTGTAGATGAGCATACCTGGTTGCATCTGCACTGTAGAATTAGTGCAGTTTGATACCGCTTTAACTGCCGGGCTTTCAGTTTGGGGAGGCACGAGCACACTTGACTAGAGAAGGCCCAAGGCTTCATCAGACAACAGCTCCCAGGATCCCACAGCATTGAGCCATAGCAAGTGGTGGCAAACTGCATTAATTCTGCAGTGTAGACGCACCCTAAGATGACACATAGTGTGTAAATGGAAGTATGGGATGCTAAAATACAAGTAAATATAGAATTCAATGTGACTAAGGAACTGGATGCCAAATGTCTGTATGTGCTTTCAAGGTGGGGGTCGTCTACAGCAAACGTTGGCTGATTTTGCCACTGGTATCCATTATCCTACCCAAATCATGACCAGGAATGACCCAGCTTAGCTTATAAGATCAGGCAGGGTCTGGTGCCATTAGGGTATTATTTAGGCCCAGATAATAAAATATTATTATCTTATATATATATTATAAAGAAGCATCATTCAACAAGGTTCGGCAAATGTTTTATTCAAAACTGGTGGTGCAGCAGGTTAAACTGCTGAGTTGCTGAACTTGGTGACCGAAAGGTTGGTGGTTCGAATCCAGGAGCAGGGTGATCTCCCCAACTTCTGCCAACCTAGCAGTTCAAAAGCATGCAAATATGAGTAGATTAATAGGTACCGCTTCGGCAGGAAGGGAACAGCGGCGCTCCAACAGTCATGCCAGCCACATGACCTTGGAGGCGTCTACAGATAATAATAATACTTTATTTATACCCCTCTCCATCTCCACGCCCATCAGTACAGTACATACATTGTAATACAAAAAACATAATTCCAGAAAATAAAATACATAAAATGCAAAAGAAATATAATATAACACTGGCTCTTTGGCTTAGCGATTGAGATGAGCATCGCCCTCACAACTAGACTTAATGCCAAGGGGAAACCTTTACCTTTACGTTAACATGCATCGTGAAGCGAAATGAGCAAGTCAGGCCAGCTTAATGGGAGAAAAATACTTGGAGCCTTCTAGACACCTTTGAAGGCTTCTTCCAAACTGTATTCTAAGCTTCATTTTCCTTAGGGTTGCCATTTTTGATAACCAAACCTTCGGCTTTACGTTTGGCGTAGGTTTGTGTTAAGAACCCCATTAAAGTCACCCAATATTATTAGCTCATCGTATTGTTGCTCTATAATATACCATTTTAGTTTTTCAATAAATTTTCCTTTGGCCCCATTGGGCGCATATATATTGCAGATTAAAATTCGAAGGGAGTTCACTTCAATCATCACTCCTAATATTCTACCTTCGCAGTCCTTAAAGACTAGTTTGGATAATGTACCTTCTTTGACATATGTGGCGACCCCCTTTTTCTTTTTTCTTTTTAAATAACCTTTATTAAAGTTTTCCATAAAAATATACAAGTGTAATAAAATCATCGTAGAAGATGAGAGAGTAGGGAAAAGAGGGAAAAGAAGAGGGAGGGAGAGAGAGAAAATAAGAAGAAGAAAGCTTGACTTCCTGGTATCTTTCAAAAGTCTTGTATGTGGTCTTCTTTTAATATTTCTTTGTTTCTTTACTTTTTTGTTTCCTTCTTTCCCCCTTCTTGTTGTGTTACGGTCTCTATTTGTTCCTTTCAAATCACAATTCCTTTTCTTTTCTTTTTCTTAAATATTCGGTAACTTCTTTCCAGTCTGTTTCTTTTCTTCTTATTTCTTTATTTTCCAATAGTAGGAATGTAAGCCTATCTAGATTTCTAATTTCTAACATTTTTATTATCCAGTCTTCCTCTTTTGGTATCTCCTCCTGTTTCCATTTTCTGGCAAAGCACATTATTGCAGCAGTTAGGGCTAAGAATAGAATTTTATCTTTATCTTTTTCCAAATTCCTATCGTATATTCCTAATAAAAATATCTCTGGTTCCAGTGGTACTTGCATCTTTAACATATTTTGAATTTCTTTTTGTATTATCGTCCAATATTCTTTTGCTTTATCACAAGTCCACCACATGTGGTAATACGAACCTTCTTTTTTTTCTACATTTCCAACCTGTCGTGCTTGTATTGTTATATATTTTTCCCAATTTTTTCGGGGTCAAATACCACCTTTGTGACATTTTGACCCAATTTTCTCTCAAATCTGATGCATAAGCAAACTTTAGTCGTCTCTTCCAGATTTCTTCCCATTCCTCGTTTCTTATCTTTCTTCGTATATTTTCGTTCCATCTTTTCATGTAATTTTTCTCTTCTTTTGGTTCCATATACCATTCTAATAATTTCTTGTATATCTTCGTTATTAATTTCTTCTCTGTTTCCATAATTTTGTCCCAAAATTATTTTCCTTGTGTAAAACCTAATTTTTTATCTTATTTATATTTCTCTTTAATCCGGCAATATTGCAGCCAGGTGTTTAATTCATGTGGCTCTTTTACTACCAATTCTCCTTGTTTGTTTTTCAGTATTGGCCACTCCCTTGCGTCTGCTTCGGTCTCCCCTGCAGGATTCGCCCCACTCGTTCCCCAGTTGTCTTCTGGTCTATTGTTGACCTGGAGTTGTTTTCCTGGTGGATTCCTGCACCTTTGTTTGCCTTTCGCTTCTGTTGTTTTTAATATTAGTTTTGTTTCGCGGTCTGTGGATCTGCAGGTCCCGCCGGACGCCAGACATCGCGAGATCGCCGATCCCCGTCCGCGCACGTCTCCGCTCAGCCTCCCGTTCTCCACACTCCGCGGGGGCTCACTGGCCAATCTTCCCTGCACTGCGGCCGGGTTGGCGCTGCTGGAAATGAGGGTCTTCTCCGCTGCAACCCAGGTGGGCCACGGTTGGGTCAGTATCTTGACTTCTTCCGTCTTTCTCTTACTCCCGTTCCCATTCTCGTGGTATTTGCCTCTACTCCAGCTCTGGTTCTTACTTGTTTTCTCTTGCGTTATTTCTTTATCTTGTTTTACCTTCCATTGCACGGTTTTGCTCCTCCCCTTCCGGCTCTCTTCTCCGCCTACTTCCTGTGTTTTTCTCACTGCCTTCTCTTGCTCTCTTGATGGACCTAATTTCAAAGCAGTCATGATGGACATATGTTAGAATTACACAAAACATGACAAATGATTTAATGAGTTATCAAGTGGTGCTAACCAACTGGAGAATATCTCATTATGCCTTTTGTTGTGGGGCTACCACCTTGACAGTGATTGGGGCTAGGCTCATGTGGACCATAATGACGGATCTGATTAGCTGTCAAGGGAAATGCAAAAGGGCTTCTTTATCGTGTGCCATTTTGATCTTCAGAGGCTATGGCCTCATTCTTCTGATCACAGAATTGTCTTCCATAAGTAGGCTGTTCACTTCAGCACTCAGCCTTCTGAGTCAAGGAGAAAAAGGAGGATCAAATCCTCCTTTTTCTCCTTGACTCAGAAGGCTGAATGCTAGTGTGTTTGTTACTGGAACTGCCTTTTAAAAAAAGCAGATTTGTAGTTCATACAAAGGGATACTGTACCTGGTGCTGTTACTGGAGGAAGTTTCTCTAGATCTATCCCAATTTCTGCCGCTAATTTTTCCCGCCGGATCTGCATTCGGGCTTCCTGTAAGCAATAATACTGAGATTAGACAAACACAGGACTGAGCCATGCCAGTCAAAGTTGTATCACACAACACTATTCTTTGCCTGACACAAAAACACTTTATGTCACAGCAAATGAGATCTATACGTTGGATTATTGTTGTTGTTATTTTACTGACACAAAAACGCAGCATGTCACAGCAAATGAGCTCTATAGCTGGATTTCACATCACAAAATCACAAGTCACACTTCCCAAGCGTCATAGAATCCTAGAGTTGGAAGGGACCTCATGGGCTATCCAGTCCAACCCCCTGCCAAGCAGGAAATTTGCATTCAAAGCACCCCCAACAGATGGCCATCCAGCCTCTGCTTAAAAGCCTCCAAAGAAGGAGCCTCCACCACACTCCGGGGCAGAGAGTTCCACTGCTGAACAGCTCTCACAGTCAGAAAGTTTTTCCTAATGTTCAGATGGAATTTCCTTTCTTGTAGTTTGAAGCCATTGTTCCGCGTCCTAGTCTCCAGAGCAGCAGAAAACATTTTGCTCCCTCCTCCCTATGACTTCCCCTCACATATTTATACATGGCTATCATGTCTCCTCACAGCCTTCTCTTCTTCAGGCTAAACATGCCCAGCTCTTTAAGCCGCTCCTCATAGGGCTTGTTCTCCAGACCCTTGATCATTTTAGTTGCCCTCCTCTGGACACATTCTAGCTTGTCAATATCTCTCCTCAATTGTGATGCCCAGAATTGGACACAATATTCCAGGTGTGGTCTAACCAAGGCAGAATAGAGCATGGGTAGCATGACTTCCCTGGATCTAGACACTATGCTCCTATTGATGCAGGCCAAACTCCCATTGGCTCATGTTTAACTTGTTGTCCACGAGGACTTCAAGGTCTTTTTCACACGTACCGCTCTCGAGCCAGGTCTCCCCCATTCTGTATCTTTGCATTTCATTTTTTTCTGCCTAAGCGGAGTATCTTGCATTTGTCACTAACTTCATTTTGTTAGTTTTGGCCAATCATCTCTCTAATCTGTTAAGATTGTTTTGAGATGTTGACCAGGACCGGGCCCTCTGGGTTCGTCCGCTTAACCAATTACAGATCCACCTAACCGTAGTTTTGCTTAGCCCACATTGGACTAGTTTCCTTGCCAGAAGGTCATGGGGGACCTTGTCGAAGGCCTTACTGAAATCCTGATACGCTACATCCGTGGCATTGCCCGCATCTGCCCAGCTTGTAATTCTATCGAAAAAAGAGATCGGATTAGAGCAACAAGAACCATAAGGAACATTCCTACACAGTGTCTAAAACTGAACATAGAGGGCTTCCCATTCAAAAAACCTCATGCAGCATTATACGGCACCTTTACAAGCATTCATGTTATTTGACAGCTTAACTTCTGTTGACTTCAAAAGGACAAAAAATGCAGTTGGCCTACTTTATTCACAAACTCAACCTTCTCTGGTTTGAAAATGTTTTAAAAAATCACAATCCACTTGATTTTGTCATTTTATATAAGGGACATGATTTTTCTAAACAATAGTATTTATAATGGGACTTAAACCTCCATGGGTTTTGTTATCCACAAAGGTTCCTAGATCCAAATCCCGGTGGATACCAATGACCCACAAAGCCACAATGTACTCCTGTGACATTCGGATCCAGAATGAGGCAATAAACTCAGCTGAAGAATCCGTTGGCCCCAGAATGTTCAAAAAAGATACTGCCAGATAACATGGGATTCCTACATGTAAATAGGAATGTAATGGGGTGTAAATACGAGCCATATGTTCTTCTTAGTCGACATTACATGAATAGGTTCCCGTCTACTAGGTGTAGCCTTCATGTTCTTCTTCAGTTTCAGATTTAGACTGGGCTTTGACATGAGACCAGGAACACGGAGAACACCGAATGCCTGCATTTTGGCAGGCACTGGTGAAATTTATAGGATGGGCTGGATAGATATTTCCCCTACCCAAATATACACCATTTCTTTCCAACCACTCTTTCTTCTCCATTCCATTGTCTGCCTGTAGCTGTAGCTGAAGACCTAAACAATTACAGCCTTCAAAGAAACCATTGGATACCAAATTAAGAATCATCCAGACTGGTTTGATGAAAATGACAAAGAGATCCAACAGTTTATCGATGAGGAAAGGAAAGCCTTCCAAACATGGCAGAGACATCAACTGCGCTGCTAAAGAAAAGATCTATGATAATGCAAAAGCTGAGTCCCAGAGAAAGACCGGCGAACTCAAGAACATCTGGTGGACAAAAAAGACTCAAGAAATTCAACACCTTGCTGATGTCCATGATGCACGGGGATTCTTTAATGCCACAAAGGTCATCTGTGGACCAAGAAATCATGGCATACACCCTCTACATTCATAAGATGGAACCTAACTTCTGAAGGATAAGATATCAATTGCACTATGTTGGAAAGAGCACTACCCCAACCCCCTTAACCGCAGCTCCAGCATGGCCAAAGAGGTTCTCTCACAAATCCTGTAACAATAAACCAGGAATGAGCTTGAAGCACCACCTCGTTTGGAGGAAATCAGCAAAGCAATCAGTCAACTAAAAATGCAACAAAGCTAGCGGACCTGATAGGATCCCTGCTGAAATCTTTAAAGAGAGTGGACCTGAGCTGACACAACAACTCCACCAGCTCATTGAAAAAGTGTTGGCAACTGAGAAAATCCCAAAAGACTTCAAAGATGCCACCATCATCACCCTTTACAAAAAAAAGGGAAAAGATCAGAAGGTGACAGACTATAGAGATATCTCTCTCCTAACCTCCACTGGGTAAATCCTCACAAGAATACTTGCAAACCGCCTTCTACCTATTTCAGAAGACACGCTCCCAAAATCTCAGAACGGCTTCCACCACTCCAGAGGAACAGTGGATATGATCTTCACTGCATGACAGCTCCAAGAAAAAAGCAGGGAACAAAAACAACCTTATTTGACACAGTGGAGCACAGTGCTCTCTGGACCAGCCTCCAAAAAATTGGATGCCCTGACAAATTTGTGAACATCCTGTGGCTCCTCCACGATGACATGATTGCAACTGTCTTGGAGAGCAATGGCTCCCAAAGTCACCCATTTAAGGTGGAATCAGATATCAAACAGGGATGTGTTATTGTCCCAACCTTATTCTCCATCTTCATTGCCATGATACTGCACCTTGTTGATGGGAGGTTTCCATCCGGTGTGGAAATCATCTATCAGCTATTTAATCACAACAGACTGAAAGCCAAAACCAAGGTCACAATGTCTGCTATAGAACTTCAATATGCTGATGGTAACATGTTCTGTGCTCATTCATAAGAACACCTACAAATTACTCTAAATGCCTTTGCAGAAACATACGAAAAGCTTGACCTCTCACTGAACACTGAGAAAACCAAATTGGTCCTTCAACAGACACCAGCCAGTCCCTCTGCAATGTCATAAATATAGCTTAATGGAATAATATTAGAAAATGTTGACCATTTCCGCTACCTTGGCAGCCACCTCTCCACAAAAATCAACACCATCTGAGCTCTGTGAGTGCAGCATTCTTCCAAATGAAGCAGAGAATGTTAAGGATTGGGACATTCGTAGGGATACCAAGATGCTTGTTAAGAAAGCTATTGTTCTCCCTACTCTGCTATATGCTTGCAAAACATGGACATCACACTCAACTCCTGGAATGATTCCATCAGCGTTGTCTCTGAAAAATCCTGCAAATCTCCTGGGAAAACAGGCGGGCAAATGTCAGTATGCTGGAAGTAGCAAAGGCCACCAGCACTGAAGCGATGATCCTTTGCCATAAACTCTGCTCGACTGGCCACACTGTCTGAACGCCTGATCGCCGTCTCCCAAAGGAGTTACTCTACTCCCAAATGAAGAATGGAAAATGGAAGGTTGGTGGAAAGGAAAAGAGATTTAAAGATGGGCTTAAAACCAACTTTAAAAACTGTAGCATAGACACTGAAAACTGAGAAGCCCTTGAGTGCTCTAACTGGAAGTTAGCTGTTACCAACAGTGCTGTGGAATTTGAAGAGGCACGAATGGAGGGAAAAAGGGAGAAATGTATCAAGAGGAAGGCACGTCAAACCAACCCTGTCCGGGACTGCCTTCCATCTGGAAACCAATCTCCTCCCAATCCTACATTTTGATATTATTCCCACCAATAAGGTGAACAGGGTGAATCCAGACTTTTTCTCCTCTACCATCAGCAAGAAAATAACCCTTTACTTCCCTGTATTTATTAGAGAAGAGGATTCTGTGCATGATTTTTAGCATATAATCAATAAGGCTGTTCCATTTATTAAACAGATAATTTAATCTAGCTCTTCAGATCCAATTCTTCAGAACACACTTATGTTACCTTATGATCATTGCTTAAATAAATTGCAAGAGCAGCCAAGCAAACCTCAACAGAAAGCTAATTCAAAGTCCAATGTTGTCAAAGTATCCTTGCCCCTGGTACCAAATATATTCCAACAGATCCAACTTACTTGAGTGTAGATGTTACACGTCACTTCCAATTTCTTATTCTCCAGCTCCTTGATATCCTTTTTAGTGACTATCGGAGGGAAATGCCATTGAGATTGCTGAAAATAGGGAAGAAAAGGAACATATTTATAAATGTAATGGGGAGTTTTGGAGGGGCCCTGTGTCGCATGGATGAGAATGGCAATGAGCCACAGCTGTTAGCCTCCCTGTGTCCCCTTTAGCCCTTCGTGTAGTAATAGCTGGCTTCTCCTCCCTATCTGTTCTGTCTATTCCCGAAGAGTAAGCAAGGAGAGAAAAGCAATGTAAATCTCAGCAATGCCTACAGAGCAAATTGCACCAGTAGGGGATCCGGACAAGAACAGCCCCTTTCTTCAGTTGAACCCATTAGCGGGACCATGTTGGTCTCCAGGAGAAGTCAACACATTCTGCTTCATCACATTAGCTGATAATATAAGCCCACCGCTCAGTAAGGCTTGCAGTTCTGAATGCAGAACAGAGTACCTAAGGCAGAAGGAAAGTCTAAACCTTGTGCTTGCAGAGTGGATGAATGCAAAGACTTTTCTTTCCCCCTCTTCTTTGTGAACAAAGAGGTGAAAGGAAAGGATTCACTAGGCTGTTTGCTTTGAAAACAACATGGACCATTTCTTTCATACAGCGATTGTGCAATAAATCCCCTTCTTTGCTCTACAAGGATGTTGCTTATTCTGGTAGCATGATGGAGATGGAGAAACAGAGCCTGCCACTAAGTATTTGATACCAGAGCCATGGCCACCAGCTTGCCCATTGCAATTCATGTCCTAGACCACTTCTTTAAAAATACTGGACTTTCTATATGCTTTTTTCAGGAAGAGATTTCTACAAAAGCTTTCCTCAGGTTTGCTGAACTAAAATGGCTACCTTTCCAATCACTAAAACCATGCAGTCATTTTAAAAAAAATACAAATTAAAACTCACAATTGCACAAACGAATGAATGAATGAATGGAAAACCCAGCAACAAAACTCAATTTAAACCGTAATGTACATGTTTTACCTGCATTCTTTTGGACCAATATTGGTATGGAAGTATTTCTTGTAGTGTCTAGTTTTACTTACTGGTGGAACTGGTCTCTCTTTCGGCTTGGTCTCTGGTTCTTGACGCTGCTTTGATTTTGTAGGTTCTGAAAATCAAGAAAACAATATCACTGCATTTGGAGTCCCCTTGACTGTACAGCTCCTTCCTTAATCGGTTAGAAGAAGCTAATATGGCTGGCCAGGCCTCAGAGGGACAGAAGAAAGCAGACACAGCTCTATCATGCCTAGGCCAAGAAGCTGGTGGAAATGTTTCTCACATGCCAACTGTCATTGTTCTAGACTCAGAGGAAGACAAGAACCATTATGTTATGTACCAGAAGCAGATGAAAAGTCCTCCATCCATTTCAGTTTCTGCTGCCATGACCTCAGAAGGAGAGAAGGCGGCAGTACTTACTGAACTCAATTCTCTACCTTTGCCTTTTGTTTCATGTCTAAATTAGACTGTAAGCCTGTAGATAGGGGGACTATTTTCTTGTTCTCTTAAAGCATCAAGTACTGTGCTGGCACATCATCATCATCGTCATCCTCATCATCATCATCATCATTTGCACCTGCATCTAGAATGCAAGGTGGCAATATTTCAAATTTTTGACTTGTATTCTGTCTAGATTGGCACACTTGAATTTTGCACCTTTCCTCACCACTACTTAAGAATGCATTGCACTACCTGAGCCTAGACCCATCCTGATTCTGTTTTTCAGCCATGATATCGTTTTCATGTTGTTGTTGTTGTGATTGTGTTGTGTTTTTATCTGACTGTTTTTAATGCTGTTGTGTTTAATCTGTGATTCTCAGGCTTGTCCCCATGTAAGCTGCCCGAGTCCCTTTGGGGAGAAGATGGTCGGGTATAAAAATAAAGTTATTATTATTATTATTATTATCATCATCATCATAACTCACTGAAAGATTAACACATGGAATGGATTCACTGCTCCACTCTTATTTCCAATGGTGTTTAAGTTTAGTTTCACAGAAAGAAGGTGGCAATTGAGATTATAACTAGTGTTAAATTCAGGTGTTGTATCACTGTATCACACTAGGCATATTAAAACCCAAGACAGCATGCAGCCTCACCCATGAGAAATATCTGAAAGTCAAAGCTTATTGGATTATTATCCTAGCAGCAACTGAGAGATCCTTTTCTCTAGACCAGGAAAAAATTGATCTGGAGAGCAGATTCTTCCTTCTTTGAAATGCCCTTGACCCTGCTCAGTCAAACGCTAGAGCCCGTTCTGCAGGGACCATTTTAGGGAAAGGAGAGAAGAGCTTCCGGCCACTTAAGAGAAGGAAGAGAGCCCAGGAGTATCAAACTGCTTCTAATAAAGATCCAGGCCAAAAGAGCAATGGACTGTTAGGAGATGCTGCAAAGAGACAACATGGAATCACAGAGGATAATTTCCCAGTTCTGAGTATATTCAGAATCAGATTTGACATAGCCAAGCATGGGTGATTTCTAGCTAATGAAATTCCTTCTGGCATGAGAATGGACTGTCTGAGTCAATACAAGAACGAGCCCTTTGTCTCAGATAATGCCTTTTGCATCAGAATCCGCTTTGTTTTTCTTGACCCGAATAGGTACTTCTTCTCTTATTCTCCTATCAAATACCATTTAATATTTCAACGATGGAACTGAACCAAACTTGGCACACAGCTCTCTCATGACCAACAGAAAATACTGGAAGGGTTTGGTGGGCAGTGTCCTTTCGTTTTGGAGTTGTAGTTCACCTACATCCAGAGATCACCGTGGATTCAAACAATGATGGATCTGGACCAAACTCTACACAAATACTCAATATGCCCAGATGTGAACACTGGGGGAGTTTGGGGAAAATAGAATCTTGACATTTGGGATTTGTAGTTGCTGGGATTTATAGTTCACCTACAATCACAAAGCATTCTGAGCCCCACCAAAGATAGAATTGGGCCAAACCTCCCACACAGAACCCCCATGTGGGCCACAGCAACGCATGGCAGGGGATGGCTAGTCTATATATAAATGCTCTGTGCATAATGAGTGCCTTAAAAACAAAAGAACAACTTAACGAAATCAGACCAAATTTGGCAACAAAACATCTCACAACACAAGGAGTGACCATCACTAAAAAAATTATGATTTTGTCATTTGGGAGCTGTAGTTTCTGGGATTTATAGTTCACCTACAATCAAAGAGCATTCTGAACTCCATCAACGATGGAATTGAACCAAACTTGGCAAACAGAAAATACTGGAAGGGTTTGGTGGGCATTGATCTTGAGTTTGGGAGTTGTAGTTCACCTACATCCAGAGAGCACTGTGGACTCAAACAATGATGGATCTGGACCAAACTTGGCACAAGCACTCAATATGCCCAAATATGAACACAGATGGAGTTTGGTGGAAATAGACCTTGACATTTGGGAGTTCTAGTCACTGGGATTCACAGTTCACCTACAATCAAAGAGCATTCTGAACCCCACGAATGACAGAATCGGGGCAAACTTCCCACACAGAACCCACATGACCAACAGAAAAAACTTAAGGCCATCCAATCCAACTCCCTTCATCAGGGCAAGAAAACATAATCAAAGTCCTCCTGACAAAGAGCCATCCAGCTATAGAGACAGATAGGTAGATAGATAGGTAGATAGATAGATAGGGAGTTGTAGTTGGTGGGATTTATAGTTCACCTACAATCAAATAGCATGATAGAATTGAACCAATTGGGGCATACAGGACTCTCTTGACCAACAGAAAACACTAGAAGGGTTTGGTGAGCATTGACCTTAAGTTTGGGAGTTGTAGTTCACCTACATCCAGAGACTACCATGGACTCAAACAATGATGGATCTGGACCAAACTTGGCACGAATATTCCATATGCCCAAATATGAACACAGATGGAATTTGGGGAAAATAGACCTTGACATTTGAGAGTTGTAGTTACTAGGATTTGTAGTTCACCTACAATCAAAGAATGTTCTGAACCCCACAAACCAATTGGGCCAAACTTCCCACACAGAACCCCCATGACCAACAGAAAATACTCAAGGCCATCCAGTCCAACTCCCTTCACCAGGGCAAGAAAACATAATCAAAGCCGTCCTGACAAAGAGCCATCCCGCCATAGATATAGATAGATATGATTCACACACAAATATAGTATCATAGATTTGAAAGGGACCCCTGAAGAAGGACAATTATATGTTGCATGTTCCAGAATAGACAAACCAGACACTCTCCACATCAACACTGACAAAGAAACAGCAAGAAATACTGTTTACCCACAAGCATCAAGACATTGCATATATTAGAAACCAACACTTTCTCATGACTTTTATTTTCCATATCAACAGACTGGGCCACAGCAACGCGTGGCAGGGGACAGCTAGTAATGAATCACAGTGTCTCCCAAAACAGCTAGTGCATTGTACTTACTGTCTTCGGGGTTCCGGTAAAGGAGAGTGGGTCTTTTGGAGACTGGGATTCTCTGAAAAGGAAAAAATGCATGACATTATTTATCATGCCGCTAAATAACCCATCTGAATAAATAAATGACCCATACATGTTCTTTTTTAGTGGCTTTCCTTAAAAAATGAAATTAACTTTTGTTGCTAAAGCAATTGAAATTCCCTTTGCAAGTGCATACTGAATAAAATTAATATTAATTTGATTTTTGTGAGTACTTTACAAATTTGGACTTTTTTTCCTTATTAAAGTTGAAAAAAGCCTATTTAGCACATCTTAATGATGAGTGAAATATTTCAAGAAGACTTTCAACAGCTACCCTGAAGGATATGAGGCAGATTTCAGCCCTGAGATTTCAGCTAAGTAGTTACAATAAGATTTCTGTGTAATCCGGCTGCAAATTAGTGCGAAACAATTTTCATGTCATTTCTTTGACTCTCAGAGGAATAAAACAGAAAAATGCAAAAGCCTCGTATCAGAATAGAAACTCTGCATGGGTTCTGGTAGGATGTTCTGTCCACAAGGAAGAGATCCGTCTTTTTCTCATGAAAAATACAGTTAGCCGTCCATGTTTGTGGATTT